AAGTCCTTACTTAATAAAACTGGTTTATTCTTTCTGAATATAACTTTACGGTACACTTGATTTCAACATTCGCGCTAAAACAAACGCTATAACGAACTTCAACAATACTATCTGACTGCAAATCAATTACTCACTACCTACACACATTCTCCCGTCACGTTGTCACCCTCTTATATACCAGATTACCCTATATCTAGTAAATGCTAGGGCATTCACAAAGGAACGGGATAGTTCTAGAAACGTGGCGTGACATTAGTCACGTGATCTCGCTGACGCAACAATATATATATATATATATATATATATAATTAAAGTTATTTTAAGACTTGCGACCGACGAAAAATAGGATAAATTTAAAAAAAAAAAATGGCTGAAAAAGCATTATGAAACATATAAAGCGCATACAGCGCAATAGTAATTATTCGTAAACAGTTTAGCTACATTGGTTGAGCTGATTTCAACACAACTTTCACATTTTCAATCGGATACTAGGAAGCATGGAAACAGTAGTAACTGGTAGAGTAAGTGATGAACACAAAAATAAATGAAAGAAAAAACATGCCATATTTGCCATATTTGTCGCCTTTGTGATCCATTACCCTCATGCACTGTGCCTACGATGCATGTCAACTACAAAAGTAAGCGTAAAATTAGTCAATTGTCAAGTCCTAGACGAAAAAAACCACGTGTAGTATACTTAGGGAAAAACACAGGCAACGTTTGGTTGATGAATATGGTGTATCAGATGAACAACATTCTGACACAGTGCATGAATCTGTGTCAAATAAAGATATCTTGACAAAGGTTTTTCATATAATGGTAGATTTTCCGAAGGACGGAAATCTGTACGAATTTATTGCTGAAGAAGGTCGGAGCAGACGAAGAGCAAATGAAATATGTGAATTGGTCTGTGACAATTTGTTTTCTATTGTTTGTCCATCACATCCACAACAAATGAAGGTTATTTACAAGGGATTGGAGTCGCTAAAATTACAAAATGATTTGAACAAGGAGAAAGTAGCAAAGAATTTGGTATCTGTAACATTTTTTGGAAAACGCCAAATTTCCATTGTTGCTCAGAGTATTATGGCCTCTTCTTATGATCGATATTCTTGTAGGCACCTCTTGTCTGATGAATTAATGAAGCTAGATAATGCTACAGCTGCGTGAGTTACAACTAAACAAAAAATTATAGGGAAGATGAAATTTTCATCACTTCGGAACTTTTTTGAAGATTCTAGATGATCAAGATATTCCTTGCACGATTATGCTTTTCGTATTGATCCTGGAAACTGGTTACAGCCACATCATCCTTTCAAGAAAGTATATTGCTGAAACCTGGAAGTACAAGGGACGTTAACATTGCAGGGCATTTGTTTCAGTGTATGAGTGAGGAGGAAAGACTGTTGATTCCTTACTTTATGCATACCAAAATGCAGGTGATGAATCTGAATAAGCTGGTTGGCAAACCTTTCGAGATATGACAAAACGTTTGACAAAACGTGGCGAGTGTAAAGCAGGACTATCAACATACTACATCCGTGTTAGAAATGCATCAAATGTCTTCTAGAAAATGATGAAAAGGACATTGGCTCTAGAGTACAGTAGCCAAGAAATAAAAACCTGCATTGAGACGCGTGTGAAGGACTTGTTACAGGAATGGAAAAATTGCAACACTTTGTTATATGGGAATATTCTCATCGCCACATCGAGATATCAGACAATGATTGTATTTATTGTTGTATGTATGCGCTTGGTAAAACTTGCAATGATCACATCCACACTGGAATAGTTTGCAGTGCATGTTCACAAACGTTCAAATTTTTTAGTCATCTAGTGAAACCCTTTCTCAACAAAGTGTCTTTACATTTGTGTGATACAGCAAAAGATGAAGTGAAGTCCAAGACTAAATTAATGTCCGAATTTGATAGAGTGATTCTCAATCATTTGTCGCATCAATTACGGGTTAAAGTACAATTCTAGGCTGTTCACGAAATTAAAGAATTGTTACGACAGCAGAAGTCACCTGACACTGGTAACACGTAATGAGTTCTAGAAAGATCGGGGAACATCACGAATAATCCAGTATATTCTTGTATATAAGTGCGCCAGACAATTAATCGGAACTGAATAGCGGACAAAGAGATTGAAGCTATAGATAACTGCAGACAGACAGAGACGGATAATTGAGTCAAGCGCGGTAGTAAAGCGCGTGAATCGTTGTGAATTATAGCGTGTGTTTAAGTTAAAGTGACTGTGGAAATTAAATGTATTGCAAAATTGTATTGAGAAAG